ATTAAAAAATTGATGTTAAAGCATTTTGTTTAATTAAATAAAAAATGATGTTATTACGGTTTTGTCATAAACGTAAAAAAATGTTTAGAGCTTCGAACATTAAGGTTACGAAAGTAAAAGTTATGCTTAACGAAAATTGAAAACGTTTCATAAACGCGATGTTATTCAAGGTGCTAGCGCTGGTCTTGGTCCTATATACCCAAAGAGGGTAGGCATTTATGATTGGCCATTTGCCGTGCATTAAAACGTTCCCCATTACTTTCACTCCTTTCAGCCAATCTTCGCTATGGTCATTACCAATGATGTCCATGAATCGATACTTCGTGTCCGTCTTAAAATACGGATTATGCTCTAATCACACCGTAGCTGAAAGCATTTTTAGTATCCACAAGGTGAGTAGTTGTGGTACTTGTGCACTCAGAAGGAATGTCAAAACAATTGGTAGACTGTCAGAAGTACCCATAGTTTTTATGGCAGATCTGTTGGTGAGAAATATACACTATCGACAAACTGCAAACACTGAAGTTGCGAAGTGGCAGCTTAAAGAAGTACTAGATCGCTCATCCCTTTCACTTTACTATACTTAACTGAATACCACTAAAGTGAGGTAAACGGAAATGGACCTCGACAATGAAATAACTGTTTTAGCATTACGTTTAATGTAAGATTGCATCGTTTCATGCATAATTGCTATTGTTGCGGTGTTTTCGCTGCTGCACGATAGACTGGTGACCGATAGACGTAAGCGTAACCAAATCATACTTGGTGAGATGCAAGCGCCCAATTGAATGACCTCGGTTCAAATGGGATGAAGAGCTAAAACAGAGATATGGAAGATGGCAGTGATAAATCGCACGACACATACGAACGTTGGCTTCGAGATAAAAGAGTGGTGACCTCTGTTAATTGCGAAGATAGATCAATCAACTATTGTTGTTACGCTATCGAATTTTCGGAATTTTGTGCTTGTTATACCTCATAACAGTCATATAAACAGCCGGATTTGATTTGAACTGTGTTGATATCAAGGGATGAGTGCTCTTATTTATTCCCAAGGAATAAATAATTTTTATCTAGTACCACGTCACTCTTCTTTGCATTACTTCGATCATCCTATGACGAGCAATTTAATTGTAGCCATGTTTCAGGCCTCTGAATCTGTTGTTTCACTGACCAGCTGGTAATCGGCAACGATAAATCGCTCCGGCCAGAACATGCTAGCCATTCCTCGCAATTTCGAGCTTTCTCCTTCCAAATGCGGCCTTCCTTGTTCCTGATACAATCTTCCTACAGCTACCAAGAAAGTGAGTTTAATCCTCTGAGATAAGAAATAATTAAAAAGTAGTTGATAAGAAAACAACAGTGATTCGAATACAATGCAACAGTCTGCTGTGTCAACCATGGAAACAGAGTGTTTTTGTATGATAGCGTTGAAAGTGAAGCAAAATTACTGAAACAGAATGCCATAGACTCAGATATTTTTTTCCGTTTTTAGTGATGAGTGATATTGTTATTGCTACAAATTATGGCGGAGTTCCGACTTCTCATTTCAACACTATCAAATCGGAATGTTTTTCTGCTATTCAATATTTAAACTAGAAGGCCGTTACATAAGATAAACTGTGTTTGTCGCTTAGAGATATCGGTGAAGAGATCAAGTCTGAACATGGAGACGTCTATGGAAGCCGACTTGCAATCATAACAAGTAGTGGATAATTGAGATTGTTTAATTGCGAAGGTTTCAAAAATAAATTTATTGTAAATAAAACAATCACAATAAGACTCGACAAGAATCAACATTAATTCTACCAGTGCCTCATACGTGCGATACTTGTCTGATGTCGGACAAAGAAGCAAAATTGCCACCAAAGCAACAAACGAAATGATACCATCAATGGTTCATTTTTACAATGACATGAAGAGGATAAAACTTAGCGTAAATGACCAACAGGAAAGGGGCTGTGTGCCGGTAAAACCAAGTTATCGGTGGCGATCAGCGGTGACAGTCTTCGAGCTCTCGCTGTATATTGGCGCGAGCAACAGCCTCATACTTTTCCCGAAAAATTCGCGTTGCGAAAACATTCGGTATTTGGAGGAACATTCTGAGAATCTGCGGAAAGTGATGTTTGAGTAAAATGATTAAAAGAAACAAACGCAAGGCAATGATCATCAAGAGGTAATACAATAGTCAAAATTGCCTCTTCTACTTGGCTGGGTATATTTCTCAATTGTCCACAGTATGGCTGAAAGTCCCAAAGCCTATAGGCTCAGCTGTGTGTCGCTTCAGAACGGTTGTCACTCTCCAAATACATCTAAGATTTACGAGGTAATAACCAAGAATGTGTTTTGCAAAAATTCCCAGCCCTAGCCTCTAACAGTGACTGCGAGCACATCCTCTGCAGTCAAAACTCGCAGTCACGTGATATGACAGAGCGACTGTTGCGATAATTGGGCCACTTATGATGGAACAGTTATTCTTAGCTACCACTGCGACAGTGAAATGCTTTCATAAACCTTCATGGGTTTCTAATTAAGCATGAATAGCCCCTGAGAAATCTACTGCCTTTAAAATAAATGTGAGAACGATAAGCATCCAGATTACAAAC